GGGGGAGGGAGAGGGGGAGGGGGAGGGGGAGGGGGAGGGAGAGGGAGAGGGAGAGGGAGAGGGAGAGGGAGAGGGAGAGGGAGAGGGAGAGGGAGAGGGAAAGAGAGATGGGGGGGCAATATCTTGCAAGTAGCACAGAGAAACAACTTATCACATACATAGGATCCTTGGTGAGATCATGGAGGATTTCCTGGCATACACCATGAAGTCCACAGACAGGAAAGACTGAGACATCCTTAAATAAAGTCAGTTTTTAATTCACTAGCAGATAAACCTACCAGATACACTAACATAAAGCTTCAGGGTATCTTGATAGGGCCAACAACAATGTATGACAAAGTGGTGCAAAGAAAAAATGGGCAACTATTTGTGAATAAAATATAACATCAGCGATTCATATTCAGATTATATGATCACTCGTTAATTTAAAAAAATCCAGCTAAAAATGAACAAAGGAAGAGAAGGATATGCAAATTATTGGCAAGCACATGAAAAGATACTCAGCACCATTAGTTATCAGGAAAATGTATCAAAAACACACTGAAACAGGACTTTATACCCAATAGGATGTGTTTTTAAATAAAGGAAAGACAATAAGAATTTGGTGAGAATGTAGGAAAAGATGAATCCTGCAAACCCTTGGCAGTAATGTAACAAATAATTCAGCCAGTTCTTAGGACAGTCAATGGTTTCTCAAAATGTTAAGTATGCTGTTGCCATGTGAATCAATAACTATATTCCTAGTGAAATGATAACACAACAACAATGACTTACACAGGTAAATCCACATAATTGAGAGTGAGCATAACCCAAATGTCTATCAATTAATAGAAAGATAAAGTGCAGTGTATCCATAGAGGGAAGTAGAATTTATCCATAAGCAAATGAAATGCTGATAAATGTGCCAGCATAGACCAACCTTGAAAGCATTATGGAAAGTAAAGGACTAAGGCTCAAAAGTTCTGTGTTATCACTCCATCACTTGACTTTTATAAATTACCCAGAGCAGGTAAATTTTATACATATATAAAGCAGAATAATGGTAATGGCTTTTTAAGAGGGAGATAAGGGGTTAGAAGAGAAACTGCTTTTGATCATTTCTTTTCCATGAGAAAACAGTCTAACATAGTGTACTGATTACTGTATGAATATATTAAACACCATGAAGTAGAGTGTAAATGTTATAATGCACAAACTACATTTTAATAAAGCTCTTTAAACAAGAAGATAAAGAGTTCTCTTTTTGTGTGTCACAGCCTGTGACTTTAAAAGGAACGCAGAAAATGAAATTAGAAGGTATTAAGTAGTACATATAGCAAAAACAGAGTGCAGCGTGCTGTGAAGCAGTGACTGGTAACAAGTGAAGTTTATCATTTGTTCACTGTGTCCCACCAGGAACTATGTTCTATAAAACATGTTATGAGAATGAAATTGTAGAAACAAAAAAGATTAAAAATACCCATGTCTTACGTCTCAAAGTTTGTTTTAAAAGAATAAAATAGTTTGGTTAACGAAAGGGAAAAGATAAGGTTAAAGATATTTTTATTGCAGCATCATATAGAATAGTAAAACCCTAGAAGCCATTTAAATGTTCAATTATACTAAAATCTTTCATATATCTGGGGCATAATCCTTGTAACCAATGAGCTACATACAATTAAGAAAACCATGTAGCTCCTTGCATGAGTTGTAAAATTTTTACAAAAAGCTGCTACAAAATTGCATGTGAACTATAATCTTAGTCATAAATATTTGAGCAATCCAGGCAGTACAATAGATGTCATTTTGTTGTCTCCTTGTAGAGTCAAATTAAAGGAGAGTTTGTGGAGGAAACTAAGTTATGTAGAGAACCATGTTTGTAGTCAACGGTGGACTTCAAACTCTGATCATTTGCCTGTTTAGATCACCTCATTGCCATATGTCCCTTTCCAGAAAAGCATGTCCATAACTTATGAAAGGTGATCCTATGAAGGCCTGGGCTTCAGCAAGAGCTGAAGAGATCTTCAGAAACAAAAACACTCATATCTTTAGGAACATTAGTAGTAAACTGCCATGCTCTGTTTTTAAGACTTTTATATGCTTTTACCTTTATTTATACAGATGAAAAATAGAGAAGAAACAAAGTAATCTTATATACCTATTACCTGTGATGTTTCTAAAATACCTTAACATAAGTTTTCATGAATTAAAAAAGATGCAAATACTCCACCAAAATAACAAAAAGTCATTCTCAACTCCATTTTAGGGAAGAGATTCCATAATATGTCATAGTGAGCAAGTCATGGGCAAGTGGATTTTACCTTGAATATATTTGCACCGTTGGGGTTAAACAAATGGTGCTTTCCAGACTCCAAAATAATAGGTCCTGCCCATCTTCCTTCTCCATAGACACATAGGGATACTGTTGCCGTAGTGCAAGCATTTTCAAGATCTCCAGTGACAACAGGCACCTGCTAGTCCCCATCTGCAAAGGAAAAAAATAGTGACAGAAGAAACTGACATTAGTATTAGGAAGACCCAGAATTTTGCTTAATCATCTTAGTTGAGGAAGTCAACTAGAGGTAGTAAAATTACTGCTTATTGTGTGCCTCCTTTTTGGAGGCTAACATGGGAAACAGTTTTGGAAATGTCACAGCATCTTGATGACAGAAAAAAAAATCACAGCAGTCTTTTGAGAACAATAGATGTTCCTCCTGGGAACAAAGCGGCTCAGGTGTGGGCACTTAGCACTACATATTTGGGTGAAACATGTAGAAGTGGGTTTCAGGGTCACTGTCAAATCTTTGACTGGCGATGAATGGCAGACATATACTAACAGAGTGACATCAAGGCAATATGTGTCTCAGGGATATCCTTGTAGATCTGGGGTTAATGGCAGTACAGTGAGCATAAGACAGGAACATTAAAGACAGAGACGACTTAAAAAGGAACAAAGACAAGCTAAAGTTTGGGTTTTTTTTTTAATTTCCATGAAAAAAATACCCATAGACGTAAAACAAACCAACAATTAAAGAGAAAGGTAGTTCTAGATAAATAGAACCTTCCTAGCAGGAGTTTAGCTGGGGGAAGATGCATGAAGAAAACACAGGCTGAAAATAGAGGAAGACATTGCAGTCTGTAAACAGAACGGATAATTGATCCCCTGCTGCGGGGAGACTGAGCACAAAAAAGGTTGAGACAAGCAGCGCATGACAGGAAATGTCTTTTCAAAAGATCTGTGTATTGGATTTGTTGGGAAGACAAATTGAGATAGTATTCATTTTAGCATGTTGCTTCTTTGGGAAATTGCACCATGAAACCCAAAGCTGGAAGCTGCCCCTGACCTTACAGCAGGTGTTGGGTGCACATAGCTGCACACCAACAATGTAAGTAGGCAGTGTGGCCTGCCTATGCTCTGTAATACATGCGTCTCTCCTCATCACAGACATCCACCCTGCGGGCAGGGGCAACTTAAAGACACTTTTATTGTCATTCTCAGATGTTCTGTAAACACACAGTCTTGTGCATAATTTTTAGAATTCCAAAAATAGTAAGACACCCCCAGCTTTGTGAACATTCTTCTCCTAACAACTCATCTTCCTTGTAATATTTACTTCTAGCCATTTCCCCAACAAGATAGCCACAAACTCCATTGAAAAGTCTCTAGCCACCGTAGTAAAGCTCATATCAAGTAAAATGTGCAGTGTCATATCTGATAATAAGGATAGAAGTGAGGTCTCAGCTGAGTCCCCAAAGTTTAGCAGAGCCTAGCTGTGTGAACTACGGGGTGTCTACCCTGTAGCCTGTTTGCTCTGAGGAACTTGGACTTGTATGAGAAAGTGAACCAAGGGATTTGCAAGATGTAATTCCCCCTAAGAAGCTTGTGGTTATACTAATTCTTGCAGAAAACCCTACAAGTGTGCTTGGCTGTGTAATCCAAGAAGTTAAAGAGTATCCTTTTAGGTCTTCTTTTGTCCTGCATCCTGCATCCTGCATCCTATCTCCTTCCCTGGATTTGCAATAGCCCTGGAATTTTCTCTCACTGTTAGGGGATGAGGGGCACACAAGAGTTTACATAGATGCTAAGATTTTTGTTCATTAAAATAGAGATGACTAGCAAGGAGCTGCTGATTTATACAAAACTGTGTCCTTCTCTTTTAGAATCAGTATGTCACCATGACATAAGTGTTAATGAAGAAATACTGACGAAGTATTTTCTGCAGTCACTTCTGCTGTCCCTCAAAAATTTCTAAGCATTATTTTCTTTTCTGAAAGTGGAATGTTTTTCATAGTTCCTATAATATACTTTTAAAATTTGATCACTCCATCATTTTAAGGATCAACAAAACATTCCGTTCATATCTAAATTCAACTGTTCTGTGAAATAGTTTATTTATAACTGTGCTAAAATATATTTACAGTTTTTGAATTGCTTATTTATATGTCAAAAATTGCAAGTAGTTTTTAGAAATAATTTTCTAATCTAAAATTTCAACCAAAAAGAAAATTTCTTATGAGCTGGTTTGTCTGTTTTTTGTTTGTTTGTTTGTTTGTTGTGTGTGTGTGTATGTGTGTGTATGTGTGTGTGTGTATGTGTGTGTGTATGTGCTTGTGTGACTTTTAGTTTCTCACTCAGTTTCTACACAGCTGCTTTTACTCAATTCTTAAGTCTCACAAAAATACTGTCTTCTGTTAATATCTTTTTGAAAATCATTTCTATTGCAGATTTTTAAAAAGAAGGAAGGAAGGAAGGAAGGAAAGGAGGGAAGGAGGGAGGGAGAGAGGGGGGAGGGAGGGAGGGAGGGAAGGAAGGAAGGAAGGAAGGAAGGAAGGAAGGAAGGAAGAAATGAATCAAAGTCTAAATGTTTACCTTACATTTAAATGTTTTCTGGCAGTTTTCTAAAGTGTGTTCGTTATGTGATGAAATGTGACTGTTCATGAGCTTTATGTGGCCCCAGCTCTTTATCATTGGCTTTGCCTAATACCATAGTAGTCAATGGCTTCCTTTTAGAGACATCTTGCTTTAGAAAAGAGGATTTTTTTTTCCTTTTGGACACAACATCTAGGAAAAGTATTTTTCTTTTGTCTTAAAGATACCTTAAAGGTAGTCTAGACTAAATCCTATAATCTTCAAATACTCCATAATAAGTTTGGACTCTTTCTCATCGATGTTTACCAAGAAGCCATATCTTTTTGATTCTGCTGTCATGCTGCCAATACAGGTGCACTTGAACTAGAAAACCCCCCAAATCAGCTCAAACTACTTTGATAACAAGTAGAACTCAGTAATTGTGGGCCAGCTGACTTACTTAACTTAGATGTCCATTTTTCATGTTAAATAATGAGACTCTAAATGACCATGTGTGTCACAAGGTCAAATCAAACCTGATACAATTGGTAGATCTTACCTCATAACCAAGTTTATTAACGGTTCAGCAGCAAGACATCACATGTTCTTCCTTGGAAAAGAGATTAGAAAGCAGGTAAGCAAATGATAGTCCTTGAGTCACATCTGTCTTTTTACCTATCTGTTCTGTGATCTCAGGTTCATTTACTGTGTTGTCCATGGGTCTTTCCACACTGCAACAGCAGAATTATAACGAAGACCACATGGCCCATAAAACCTAAGGTGAATACACCTAGTACTTTATATTTAAAGTTATCTATGGACTAGACAGATGCCCCAGTGGGTAAGATACTTGGTACATAATTCTGAAGAATCAGAGGTGGCATTCTAGCACTCAGATGTCAGAACATGGTCAAAAGATTGATCCATGGTGAACAATGCCTTGGAGAACAGTGAGAGAGGCTCGAGGTAGAACCTAAAGAGAAAAGACAGAGGGCTTTTTATCTCAGATACATTTTGTTCCCTGGATTGTTCTTGGAAGTGATTTTGTGGCTCCTGTGACAAACATTTACATTCAATTTATAAGATAAGTTTGTTCTTGTCAGATGTCATATAGCTGTAAAACCCAATCTAGCCAGTGCACCCTGAATCTGCATTTGGTCTTCTGACTTGCTTTCATGCTTTCCCAGATATGATCTGTAATATTTGCCAGGCAGTTGTGTTAAAATTGGTCTGTCCTGAGAATGTCCTGGGAAATGGCTACCTGCTAATATTTATTATGTCTTACTGGCATTTATTTATCTTTGTCTGATCATGTTTTCCTGAACTGGAACAACCTTCCTTGGATCGTTGCTTTATTTTTGTTACATTTGTGTATGAAAGAACACTGATACTGAAGTAAAGTTGGGTATAGCATCCAACTGTAGTCTGCCCTACTCTTTCAGGTCCCTGCACAGGTTGGCTTAAAGTCAATCAATACTCAGGTAACAAGATGGGTGTCCTACAAATGCATACAAATTTAGATCTGGGGAATCTGGTACCCACTTCCAGGTTCTGTGTAATCATGGGCTTGGACATGTATGCACACATTTATATGTACTCACAAGGGTGTGTTCAAGCACACATACAGAGATAACATAAGTAAGTGCAATAAGTCATTTTTTTTTAAATGTTTGCTGGTTCCTCCTCTGGGTACCATTGTACTTTTTTAAAAATACATATCTGGGCTGTGTTACAATATGTGCTTGTTTGTATTAAATATTCAGGATTTATCAGTGGAAGAAGAGGTAATAAGTGCTATTGATTACCTTGTTTACTAAAAGTCTTAAGTCTTGACCTATCAATCCATAAGTACCAGGTTTACTTATGATAGACAACCTAAATAGACCACAGACATTCTGCAGTGGCATCTTACACTATTTATAAATGTCCTCACTGATGCCTGCCCTGGCAATGACAAGCCACTTACTTGCAAGATAACCGTTTAAACATGGCATGTTAAAATGTGAAATATTCCTTTTTGGGGAGTGAGTAAAATGCTACAGAGTGAAAGTCTCAGAGGCTAACATTACCTGGGTCTGTGAGAAACTTTTCTCTCACCTGCTCTGTTAGAATCCAAAAGCCAAGCTGTGAAAAATGAACAGGATAGGGCTCTGAGGCTCCCACCTCTATAGGGCTCCAGCCTCATCTGCAGGCAGCATGTGCAGGGCCTTGGAAAGCCCCACATAATCCCTGCTGTGTATAGCTGTGCATTATCCAAATGACCACTGAAGTGGTCCCCCAAGACCTACCCAGATGCTACAGCATCCTGCCAAATAATGACAGAGAGTTTAAGGTATGAAGTTTGGGGTGGATGACTGGAACAACTGCTAAAAGCATTTCCCAAGAAAGGCTTCTCTGTTGTCTTGTTGTTTATATCTCCAGACATTATTTTTCAACAGAATTTTGAGACAGCATCTCACTGAGTTTCACAGTCTGAACTTCAAATCACTGTGTAGTCTAGGTGAGTCTTTATCTTATGGTTCTCTTGCCTCAGTTACCAAGTAGCTCAAATGATAGGCCCGTACCACTTTCCTGAGTCTGTTATCATTTTCCATATAAATAGTATAGTTTGCCTCTTAGCATGAATGCAAGGGAATTTAACTAGAGTGAGTCTTTTAGGCATCCCAAGGTAAAAAATAGAAAACCTGCCACTAGTCATTTCCTTCACAGTGTTCTTAACAATTGGATGTTCATTCTCAGTATGGTGCTACTTTGGTGCACCAAGTTCCTACAGCCAGTGACTTTCCATGACTCTTCCTGAGATCACCACATTTTGCCTTCCACTAGTCTGTGCATGCTGTCACAGAGATTATGTGCACTTGACTTTGCAGCCCACAAAATCAAACTCTTTATTGAATATAGAAACATCTGTGTCTAGACACATTTTCACTTATTCGGCAACTTCCCACTGAATGCTCAAAGACAGAAAGGATCCATGGAAATTAAGCTCTTACCATATATAATTGTTAGTTTCCCCAAGTGAAAAAACTCACAGCTGTCTTCTTAAAGTCTCCATAGCACATCAAAGAAACCCCAAGACAGCCTGCATTCATCCATCTGAGCAACAGGCTGCTGTCATGATTCCGTGAAGCTGCAACAGTAGGATCCTGTATGCAATGGATATGAGGAAACCCAGTGAGCCTCTACAGACTGCAACCTCCTCCTGATTACAGTGGGGCTGGCCTGAGACAGACAGAGAACATCCTTATCATTGTGCAGAAATTACTTGCTTGGGCTTGGTTGTTGCTGAAGGTGAATATTATAATAGGGAAAGATGAAAAACTCTGGGGTGCTAGGGGGAGAAAGTCCTAAAGTCAAACAGATTCTCCTTCATGGAAGTGATCTGTGGGTCTTCCAGATGCTGTAATGATTGTCCATAGTCTCTCTGATCCTTGAGGAAGGTCAGTATAAATGAAACTTCTCTGTTTGTTACTCCTAGGAGGTATGTTTATTATTATTGTTACTTACAAATTACCCTGCTTGTTAGATGTTAATTGAAGCTTTTTCCTTATGTCTTTCTTTGATTTCTATTTTGTGCTTTATTTCTGCTTGAAGCAACCTTACTCTGTCAAGGATAATACTGAGCTGGTCTTTGTCCTGAATCTCCTGAGTGATAGGTGTCAGCATGCCTGGCTTCCAATTCCTTTTGTGTTAATGATATACACCTTCCAAATAATGCAACATCAGGCCCCTCTAAGACAGGGACCAGCCTTGTGATATGCTTTTGTCATTCTGGAAGACACTGGGGCACCTATCTACCTCTAAGACTTGGTCAAATGCCTTTCGCAGATTGCCACAATCTTTGGATTACCTCTGTCACAGCCTTCCACAATCCACTTTTTCCCACACAAATAAATCAATCCCTACCTACCCTGACTGTGAATCCATTGAAGGCTATATTTGCCCTATTTCTACATTTCTGGTGTCTAGTATAGTATGTACATAACAGCCTCTCATAAAAGAAATGGGTCATTGATGTCTAAAACACTATGGGATCCCTTAGGTAGTGTTCTGGAAAGCAAAGGTTACATGTGTGGGGAAAAATGTTAAAGAGGATATTCGGAATTTTAGCAAAATATGTGGCTTTCTTTCTCAATTAACAAAGAATATATCTTACAGGCAATGTTATTATACAAAATACATGGCCATTGCCATGGCCTTATAATTGGTCTTATTAATAGCACAGAAAAAAACCCATAAATTTCCTTGTATCACTTACATTTTGAAAGACATATAAATATATTTCAGTGAGATCTAATACAAAGATACTACAAACAACATAGATTATTAGTTTATTATATTTCTATCATTTTACTACCAACAAATTCTTTGTATTTAAGTTCACATGTCTTTTAAAGCAATGACCTTATAAAAGGATCATATATTTTAATTTTTTAAGTACTTTAAGAACATTTTTGTTCTTTCAAAAGACAAATATCACTAATCCTATTACTCATATAAAGCAATGTATCCATTATGTGTTGATTTCCATAGTAGTTTAGATAAATATGACACAGCATTAGAAATGTTTGTTTCCTCTTCTAGAAAAATTTCAAACAATGTTCAGTTTTCTTCCAAAAAACAACCATATGCAATTATCAGAAAATAATCTACGGTATATTTTATGTTGATAGTGAATTAGCATGAACCACATCTCATTTTGTGATCCAGTATACCAGTATAGTGTTTTTGTTATGTGATGAGGAAGTAGCACCCTGCTTTACAGGACTATAGAGAAAATAAGAATGCTAGGGAGAGAACAGGTAGGCATCTACTGCCACCCCTGGGCATGATCAGTGAGACTGCCTAGGTACATGCTGTCTAGGAAGAGATAATCTTAGAGACCAATATGTTTTGGTCATCACAGATGTCCTAGACTCTGTTCAATGTCTTACAATTTCATCAAATTCCCCCAGCAGCCCAAAGAGGATTTTTAATGAGGCTTTCATTTCACAGGAAGAAACTTGAGGCACCTGGAGAAACTGTGAGTTTCCCAAGTAAAGAATTTTGCAAATAAATGGTTTTGTTGGGACTCAGAATCTATCCTGTCAACAGGATGTCAGCTCAGATGAATACTGGAGACATCCAGCCATATTGGTTTAGAATGGCTAAACTTCCTACCCACCCTTCCTCAGAGGCTTCAATTCTACAGCAAAGCATAATCACCACCAGGGAGAACAGTGTGGTCGAGAATACTAAATAAATACTAAACACTAAACAACACTAAACAAAACTAAATACTAAACACTAAACACTAAACACTAAATACTAAATACTAAATAATACTGGTACCTCCAGCATCCACTCGCCATTCTCAATCTGAAGTTTCAAAACTGGTGATTCCACCTTGTCCTTATTCTAAGATCCTAAAGACTCATCCTGCATCACTTGTATCACTGCTATCTAAGCTCCCCGTGACATCCTCTCTGATCAACACCTGTCCTTGGCTTACATGGACACTTTGACTTGCCTCTTTATATTTTTATTTTGTTTTTGTTTATTTTATTTGTTGTTTGTTTGTTTTCTTCCCTCCATTGGTTGGTTGGTTGATTTGGGGTTTGTTTTTTTTTAAAAATATTTAAGAATACTCAAATATTTGGGGTCCAAAGCTCCTGAAAAATACAATTTTATGATTACTTTAATATATGTTGTCCAAGAAGATAACATACTTAAATACCAAGTTATATGATTGGATCTATATAAACAGCCTAGTTCTGATTTTTATTGTCACACAGAAAAACTTTCTGAAACTCATAACTAAAGAGAATTTATTTTGCTATTGACTTTTCTTTTCAGCCAGAGTTTGTTTCACAGTGTCAACTGGAGACATTCAACTAAGGAAGACTTGTTTCTATAGCCAACTGATAACTGCTGGCTTAAAACTATGCCAGGAGAGGGGTTATAGCTCAGTGGTAGAGCATTTGACTGCAGATAAAGAGATCCTTGGTTCCAATCTGGGTGCACACTTTGTGGATGTACATGTCTTTCAGGCAGGAATCTAAATCTTAGGCTAGAACAAAGAAGTAGGCTTCAGACATGATGATTTTGGGCTAGAACAGGGAAGTAGGCTCAGATATTTTGGTCATCCTGATAAGTCCTTAGAAATAGTGATCACAAGAGTGATCATAGAACTTTGTTTATTGCCTTGATTGCTTTTTGATTATTTGTGTTTACTGTCTTGTTTGTTCCTTGACTATTTGCGTATATTGTATGGCTAGTTCCTCAACTTAGAACTGACCTTAGTACTTGCATGCAATTCAAATGGTATTAAAGCAAAATGGAGAAGAGATGGGATAGGCGGCTTGGGGGGCAGGGAATGGGTAAAGGGGATGACATCTGAAATGTAAATAAATACAATATCCAATAAAAATAACTATGCCAGGACTCGAAGGAATAGTCTTCACACCTCTCCTATTTATAGTCTGAGACTCCTTGAAATGTGGGGCAGGGTTCCCAGAACTGACATCTGAAGAGAACCATCCAGGCAAAGGTAGCAACACCTTTCAACAGACAACAGTTCATTATTTCTGTTACATACTAATATAATAGTTAGCAAGCTCAAAGCCCTGCCTTGGTTGATTCTTTCTTTTCAAAGAACAATGGCAATGTTTCAGAAGGGCACATTCGACAAGAAGAATTGTTATAATCACAGACATTTGTAGTTACATCTGCTTTTTTTAAACTTGCCTATCTCAAAATTGCTCAGCATCTTCTTTAAGCAGAACCCTCAGTCTCTAGGTCAATGGTTATTAACTGGGAGAGAGCTGATTAGGTACATTCAGTGATGGTGAAAGCATTATTTTTGGAGTCACAACTATATGCATGTGTATTGGGGTAGTATATAGTATGAATAAGCAGCTATTCTGCTAAACATTCTGTTTTAGAGGTTTCAACTGTATATCACAACAGAGTTTGTCATAGTAAAATGTCAATAGTACTAAGGTTAAGACACATGGCCACTCTGAAGCCTGTGGTGTCCCAAGCCATACTGTGGTCTCTGTGTAAAATCTCTAAATCTCTAAATGCAGTTAATTTCGAAGTTGGCTTTCATGAGTGTTTCTGCAGATTCTGATAGCTTATTGTTATGCTTCCATATCCATTCCATGGCTATGTTCAATTATTTGCATTGTCTGAAATATGGAAAGATAGGAAACAATGTTCTAAAAATCAATGTAGCATAAATGAATATCCAAATGGTAACTATTGAATGTCAAGAAAGCTAAGACTTAAGCCAAATGGACACCTAGGAAGCAGTGTGCTTGTCTTGCCAATTCACTTAACTCTTCTTGGCTATGGTAAAGTATCTAGGAACCAAACTCTAAGACAAATGCTGATGTTTGCTAATGGGAATCTATCAAGGCTTAGCATCTCCCATTTTTATTTTAATTATGTTCCAACATTGGCTACTTTTTCCCATTTAGCTCCACTGAAATTTGGTGACACAGTTTCATGCTCGTTGTATTGAGAATAATAATGCAATCTTGGCTCTTCTGACATCTTATCTAAGATACAAGTCTCTCAAGTACCCACTCAGTGTCTTCCTGGGAAACACACAAGAATGAGACACTAAGCAGAATTCCCCCACTTGGAGACTTGTGTATCACTTCACTACTACCCATTTCATGACAAAAAGTATACCCAGAATGATTCAGAGCAAGGAATAACTAACTGAAAAACATCAGAATGTGTGGTGATAGTTTAGGATATTTTACATCTTAGTTATGCTTAACTAAAACTAATTGTACATTTAAGTTTCTTTCTTGAAGTAGACACTACTGGGCACTAAGGCTAACCCAGCATGGATGGGCAAATAGACTTGAGAGGACAGGGAAAGTATCCTAATAGTCATTATAGATAATCCACTGATAAAAGCCATCCAGAAGAAGCTAAAAAGTTAGAAGTTGATTTTCTTAAGATGGTTCTCCCATGTACTGTTAAAGTTATTGACAGATTTATTTCTCTAGGAAAGACTGAGAAGGTTACATTTTAGGA